GTACCTGATGATGACAAAACCATGTCGAAACGTTGTACATTTGCTGTTATGTTAAACTTATATTAAAGTTTTTTCTTCATTACCCATTTAAGCCGTCTCCAGCCATTACTAGGTTAGTTAACTCCGTAACACCAGACTTACCCAGTGTAATTAGCATAATCCACGTGACTGGTCATTCTTGTTAAAACTTAAGAGAGTCTTTAACCTCAATATGTTACCTGACCTACCATTGGAGGACAATGTTGTTGACATTCTACATAATCTGCAGCATTACAGCCATATTCCCCACCCGTGGACAGATCAGATGTTACTTTAACAGAACAATAAAGGCTGCCAGAATGAAAGCAACTTAATGACTTTCTTCTTCGTGTTTTATGTGAAGACCACAGATATCTAAATTAAATGATTTAGTTCAAGAAATACTGTATTAAAATAAGGTAGAAAACATGGTAGGCTTAGGCATACTTTTCCTCCCCTCTTTACTACAAGCTTGCCCTCAAGCCAACATTTAAAATTATATTTAAAACCAAGTAAGCTGCACACATATGGTCAAGGAGTATGGTGAATTTCTCTTTCTCCTGTAAACACATATCTGCAACAAAGACAACGCAACAAAGAAATACAATTTAATAACAGATGTAACAAAATACCATTTAACCATGAAGTAGGAATCATTAATTATATATTGTTGCAAAATAATTTTATCACTGATTATTTGACAATGGTCACATCAAATAAGTAGATGCAAAAAATATATTTTAACAAAGAAATAATGCAAGTTAACATAATACCGTAAAGCAAGTTAACAATGATATGTAATACTCTATAATTTGGTATCATGAGAAACTCTTTAACACAAAATAAAATGAGATTAAATACAGAATACAATACCAGAAACCCTTTAACGGTGGCATTTCAATCATTATACAAAATGAGCCTTTAACAATGAAATCATATAATTACAATTTAATATGTTAGAAAGTACAAAACTAAATCTCAATATACAACTGTCATATGAGATCTGAAGTAAAAGAATGAAAAGAAAAAATACAAAACTTTATAAAACAAAACATACAATCATTTTAAATAAAAACCTTTACAAAATATTGGAGTAAATAAGAGGGAGGCCCGGCATGGCCAGGTGGTTAGGGCGCTCGACTCGTAATCTGAGGGTCGAATCCCCGTCCCACCAAACATGCTTGCTCTTTCAGCCGTAGGGGCGTTATAATTTGACAGTCAATCCCACTATTCGTTGGTAAAAGAGTAGCCCAAGAGTTGGCGGTGGGTGGTGATGACTAGCTGCCTCTTGCCTTACACTGCTAAATTAGGGACGGCTAGCGCAGATAGCCCTCGTGTAGCTTTGCACGAAATTCAAAACAAACAAACAAATAAGAGGGAATCCTCAATAGGCGCGGCACTTAAAATTCTTTAAGGCAGAATTAGAGTAAATTAATCTACGAGACCTTTTTTTCATTTTTATTAGCTGTATTTTTTGCCCCAGTAATACCAAGCCTGGGGCACGCATATACTCGATTCAATTTTATTACTCATCAGCATTTCTACCATCTTACCCTCAAATTAAAATTCTTTTCGGCAGGATTAGAATTAATTAATGTATGAGACCTTGGGCATGGTCAAATACATCAATCAAATGGGTTTGACTTCCCGGGTCCAAAACTGTAGTTAGATCTTAAATTGGTCAAGAGATGACCGAGTTATGAGCCAAAAATTTGCACTTGAAAAAACAAACTCTGAGCTGTTCTAGGAGACGCTATGTCGTGGCTAAAAACAAAACGAACTCTTAGAAAAAAAAGTATACATATCAACACAGGCTCATAAAATAACTACAGTGAAATATGGCAAAACATCTCAGCACATAAAAGAAAATGAACTCTGAATAAGACATGAAAAACAGGCAACACACAAAATAACCATTTGGCAATAATGACCCACACAAAACCTTAATACCCTATAAAACTAGTGAGTTTAAGACATAAAATCAAAGTGAAGACACATTAATATACTTAAACTATATACACAAATTAATTGAAAATATCGGTTTGATAAGTCATGGTATACAGTGAAAGGTCTCGCATGTACTGGATAAAGTGTGGTTGACATATTTTTATACATTTTTCTTTACTTTCACCGCTAAGTTCTTAGAATGACTAATGAAGTCTTTTTCCCGTTGACGCTGTGGTTTTTAGTCCTGCGCCGGGAACAGTAAGACTAGCTTGTTGGGGCCCGGCATGGCCAGGTTGTTGGAGCGCTCGGCTCGCAATCTGTGGTTCGCGAGTTCGAATCCCCGTCACACCAAACATGCTCGCCCTTTCAGCCGTGGGGGCGTTATAATGTGACGGTCAATCCCACTATTCGTTGGTAAAAGAGTAGCCCAAGAGTTGGTGGTAGGTGGTGATGACTAGCTGCCTTCCCTCTAGTCTTACACTGCTGAATTAGGGACGGCTAGCACAGATAGCCCTCGTGTAGCTTTGTGCTTAACTTTAACCAAACAAACAAATAAATCTTCTGAATTATTAAAGTTAATTCAAGTAAAAGTATATAATAATAATAATTATAAATAATTGATGTTAGAATAAATAAATAATCTTATTCCTTACCTTAATTACTCATATTAAATTGATGAAAAATGACATTTATTAACTTAATCCAGCTCACAACGTAACAATATGCTGTTTATGTAATTTGATAGTATAAATAGTGTCTCAACCACTATTGTGTTTGTCATATCCCAGCTGGTATGATGAGCTCTTGTATTGGACAAATGACCTTGTCGGCCCTGGATATAACAGATACAGTGTGCATGAGATATTATTAGTATATATATTTAATTTCACCCATAAGTTCTCAAAATTCCAAGCGATCCACGTAGTGACTCAGGGGTTTAAAATATATTTCTAAACTTAGTGTGGCTGAAATACTTAATTTTTTTAAAATTCTCTAACGACTCCTTTCAGGGTATGAGAGTATGTTATCATGAAAAACATGAACAAGTTACAAAAACAAACAATATATATTATATGGCAACTAAAATCTTAAGTAGCTAACTGACAGTTATAACATTTAAATAACATACCATTTTTATAAATCGAGTTTGTTTTTGTTGTCGTTGTTTTTTTTTGGGGGGGGGCATACTACAGATCCATCGCTTCTAGTAGTTTGAATAACAGATACAACCGAATTATTCATTAGGCAGTTATATCTGTAAAACTTGGGATACGTCTGATGGCTATATGATTTGTACTTGCAACCATACCCAGAAATCTCTAAATTGGCATATATTGCCAAACACAGACAACAAAGATACACTGGTTGGGGTTTCCTGTTGATAAGGCGTCAAGACTGGCTGGACAAACCTAACAGAACTAGCGATATTATAGTCCTTACCAATTGCAAATATTACCGTCACAACTTTCTAACACCCTGTAATAATGTAAAATAATAATAATTACATTAGTAATAATGTTAAGTGGAAACAATTTTTGGTTGTTACTTTTTACCACCTTACATTATATCCAGTGTCATTTTTCCTGGATTCAAATCAGAAACTCCGTATTATACGCTTCCCGAGAGACTCTTATTAACATTTTCTCTGGAATCAATATTTCGTACGTTTCATACTAAAACACATTTTCGTCTTTTAGCAGTGACTTTTTGTTATCACTTAGGGGATGACGTGTTTCTTTATTATTATTAAACTACTAGCTGGAGTACCCGTCCCCTGGACGGAAGTTATGTAAATTCATGATTAATGAAAGGTTATCTTAGGATATGAAAAGTTGCTTCCCTTATATATAATTGTAAAAAACGTTAATAAAAACTGCAAAACACAAAATATAAATTCGCAAATTTGAATGTATTTCCCCATGGACCCAATGAACCTTCATACCAAATTTGGTGAATATCCATCCATTGGAGGTGAAGTAGTGGTAAAATCCGCAAAACTGGAAATTTGTATATTTCTCCATGAACCTACCAAACTTTCATGCCAAATTTGGTGAAGCTCTATCAACAGGGGGCGAAGTAGTCGTAAAAAATGCGAAACGACAATAAAAACCGTAAAACACAAAATGCGAAACTGAAATTTGTATGTACCCCCGTATGAAACTAATGGACCACCATACCAATTTTGGTGAAGATCCATTCACACCCTGCGAAGTAGTTACATGGACACACAACAGACAGTATTATTATACTTATATAAATTCCTTCAACATGCACACACGCATAGGTGCACATATAATATCTACCAACAAAATTACCTTGAATTTCAACTATCGAAACCCGAATTATTGTAAATGCAATTTAACATGTTTGCATCAGATGTCTGTACGCTATAAATTTGACAGCCTTAGTGACATTGTATTGATGCATATTTGTTTGCGTGTTTAACGTTTTTGTTTATCTTTTAGACATAAGTGTATCTTCTATTTTTTCAATGTTTGTTATATTCAGAGTGTATTGTTGTTATAGCAACGTCACAGAAAACAGCAACATTTATATATATATGTTTTATAACGCGATTGGGATTATGATCACAATATAGTCTATATTTGCATAACATAGTTCGTGTAATTCATATATTTAAAAATATAAACACTTGGTAATAACTATTTGTTATTTTTTATATCATAGTTTGTACTGTACTCATCTGGGTGCCTAAATCTCGTCTTTGTTGTCTTTTGACAAGTCAATACTTGAATAAAACGCCCTTCATAGTCAACAACACGCTGTAGTTAACTTGAGAATTAGGGCGAAATTTTATTTTTTTAAATATCGCAGACGTTTATCTTAAGTAATTTAAAAGTCCAATATAAGTAGGAACACACGATGGTTAAGCACACGACTTTCTATACATATTGTTACGTCTCAGTTTGTGTGTTAATTTTCCGTAAAAATTCTTTCCAAAGAAACTTTAGCGATGCAAGTCCTTTATTAAATAAAACTATTTTATTCTTTCTCAATACAACTTTGCAATACACTTAATTTCCACATTCACGCTATAACTTAAACAAACGCTATAATTCACAACGAACGATTCACGCGCTTTACTCAATTGTCCGTTTCTATCTCTGTCTGCAATTCAATTCCATTGTTGCCGTCACTTCTTGGCGGTCTTATATACAAGAATACAGCACATCTAGTAAACACTCGAGCATTCACGAACCTTCGAGAATATCATGACCTGTCACTAGAGTCACGTGACTTCTGCTGTCGTAACAATATAAATTAGGTTCTATTCAAAATACGGTTTACTTGTAGGGTTAATATATGCATATGAGCCGCGTTTTTCATTAAAAAACAGCTTACATATAGGGTTAATGCTCCCGTATGAACCATGATTCTATTAAAATACAATTTACATGTATGGTTAATATTTGGGTGTGAACCACGGTTTCATTAAATATGTTTTAATTTTTAAATCAAAATACCTGATGCTTCAAGTTAAGGTACAACAAATTTTATTAGTGCTTTACAATTTATGTTTAATTTTCTGACTGAGGCTTGAAAATCTATATGAACTGATGAGATTTGTTATTAAATAATAATATTCTACTATTTTTAATTTCAAGCTTTTCCACGAGAAACAGTGTTCCAGTTTTACTCATTTTTGTATTGCATTGTATCCTGAAGAAGACGTATGTCGAAATAGAGGTATTAAAGAATAACATTATTTTGTCTAAAGTTACAGCTTGTTTCTTTTTTTTTTTATTAAATACGTAGTTTGGTTATTTGAAAACGACACCTGGTAAGCGCGTGGTTTAGAAAGTGTTGCTGGAAATAATGCAGTCTATCTAACATGTGCATTAAAAACACCTGCTACTTCAAATAATCATGATACCTTAGAATGTATGTGTGTTTACAGTAACAGGCGGACATTTGTCTTTTCATATTCTGCTTACATAGGTTTGATTAATTAGGGTAACATGACGTACGATGTTGAATAGTACAAGTTACTAAAAAAGAGAGATATTTATTTCTATATGTATATTTAACGTTTTTTCTTTATTGTGATAGATCAAAATTTTCAATTGCATATCCCCGTAAATTATTATTCTATGATCTTTGATCAGATCGGATTTCACGCATTACTCTGTAAAAAAAAAAAAACAAGAGTAAGATACAGCCAACTGAAGCAAAGTGAAAAGGATATGTAAATATTTTTGGGTGGCCGATGTTACTATCAGTAGGATTTTTACTGAAACTAGAGAAGTTGATTTCGGTGTTTCCAGTAGTACCGTTAGTCGAAACAATGCAGTTATGTAATCTTATCAAACTCTACTCCCGTATGCCATAACTCTTTCTCTAAGCTTAACTTCAATGAAATGTAAAGATTTCTTTTAATGTATATTTATAAGTATCAGTACAATATCAATTCTGATTAAGGAGTTAGCATACAAGATCACATGCAAAAGTTTTAATGGTTTTCAAACGAGACCTAAAACTTTTGTATGTGATCCTGTGTTCTAACTTTTAATCAGAATTTATATTCCACTCCGGGACCACGGATCCCGGTTTACTGAAGGTAAGTTACCTCTTCTTTCACCTTACATTGCCATTTTTGGAGATTATATTATTGAATTCCTCCATAAACACATTTCTTACATTAACGACCAACATATTTTAATTAAATCAATTAGTGGAGTCACATTACTTGACCTTTTAGACTGTAACTTTATTATCATAGTCTGTAAAATACTTAATTCTTTATGTCGAAACTAACGACCTACAAACCTTGCTAGTACATATTACAACCTACAAACCTTGCTAGTACATATTACAACCTACAAACCTTG